AGTTCTTACTGAAGTTTCACTAAAGCAAAGGGAGGCTGTTACTGAAGTTCATGGTGTTTCCAAACCATTTGCATTTGTATACTCATCTCTTAGAGTGCAATACACACATAAAAATTATCCAAAATTATCCAAAAATTCTCCATTTCTACATGAAAGCTTCTTGTCCCTTCACCTACACTCAGGTCCAGAGGCTTAAACAAAATCCTTCTCAGATTATTGTTAATGCTGTGCCTGATTCTGCAGCAGCTGTTGCTTTTGAACAGTATGATGCTTTTCCTCCCCCAAGAGGAGTGGAAAAGGCCTCCTCTGCCGCACTCTCAACCTTCGTCAACTCAAGGAGCATAAAACAGACTGAGAGAAGAACCTAGGATTCCTGTTTGGGAATTCAGTGCAGAGCTTAAAGACTATTGAGTTTTGCCACTTCCTGACATTGACTTTCATAGCAACAGTTTAATTTGGAGAAAAGCTGCTACCTCAAATGGCTGAAGGTATTTATGTGGAAAATTTTCCAAATGATTGACTTTACTGTGTTGCTATTTTCTTTCCCCATGAATATGTGAGTATTTGGCTTTCTCCCAGGAGTTTTTCTGCATCACTTCTCTTTAGGCAAAGACATTTTTCTATCCAGACTGGGAAAAGAAAGATGTACCAAGAGCTTCCCCCTTTACAGTGAATTATTATTTGAGTTTAAACGATAACATCTCTAAGAATGAAGAATTTGAGTGTGTCTGTTTCCTGAAATCTTCCCTTGGCCAATCTTCATGGTAGTCAGAGTCATCTTGATCATCACTTTGGAGCCAATGCAACTGTGATCAGCTTCCTCCAGCACTGCCCTGCCTCTCTCCTCCCCGTTGGCATCAGTCTTACTGAAGGGGTTGTCTCTGCTCCCTCTTACTTCCTTATCTCCCGCTAATTCTTCAGCCACCTCTCTAATGCCGAGGTCGCCAATGCCTTCCTGTTATTTAATCCAATGATTATCTGATATTATAACTGATTTGTAGCATGTGACATTGCTGTTCCCATCTTCCTTTGCTTCTTTGCCACCATTTCTCCTCATTCTCTTAGTTTCCTCCTCTTCTGCCCCTTTCTTAAAGGTTGCTTCCTTGGGTTGTAGCAGAGTGGGGAAATTAAACTGATAATATCCCCCACCTTTTGAAAAGAAATTAAACTTCTAAATAGATGAATAAATATATATGTCTAGAATTGAAACTCTATGAGAGCCGGGTTGTTTTGTTTTAATCAGGATGGATCACCCACCCTAGAACGGTGCTTGGCACAGAGTAGGCACCCAGCCAACGAATGAATGAATGATATAAAATTTATAAATACTGAAAATATATATAGAAAAGAAGGAAAAAAAGTTGTTTCCTTGGGAACCAATGCAAGGCCTGCCTCTCTTCTTACTCTACAGTCTCTTCCTGGCTGGTGCCATCTGTCCCTCAGACTCAATCCCATGCCATTGATAAAGATCCCCATCCACTTCTCCAGCCCAGATCTTATGACAGCAGATCTGTGTCTAAACTGAACCTGATTCCTTCTCTTCCTGGTTTCTCTAAGTCCCCAGTTTTAGTGAGGGATGCCATTGTTCATCATGCAAGACAGAAACCTTAACTTCCTCTCCCCTCTTCCCATAAAAAACACTAACGATTCCTACTTATTCTATTTTCTACATAAATTTTAAATACATGTCTTCTCCCTAACTCCTACCAGCACCCCTCCCTCTGCCCTAATTCAGGAAACCATCAACTTGCATCTGGATAATTCTTTCTGGTCTTGCTTCCTTGCAATCCATCTTCCATATTATAGGAGAGAGCTTTCTGATCCCATTGCCCTGATCAAAGCCCTCATGCTTGCAAAGCCCCCGCCGTCTGGCCTCTCTTGCCTCCCCAGCCTCAGCTCTTGGCACTCCTCACCTTACATTTTTCATTTTTGGTCATTCCAAATATTTTTCAGTTCTTCAAAAGTACCGTGTTCTTCCACCTTTTGGGCCTTCATATTGCCATTTCTTTTTTTCTACCTAGAACATTCTTTCTATTCTCTCCCCATCTGGAGAATTCCTTCTCCCTTTTTAGATCTGAAATTCAGACCACTTCCTGTTGGATGCTCCCCTGAATGCCCCAAGTCTGGCAAAGGTACCTCTCCCATGACCTCTGCCCCATTGTCCCATCAGAGCAAGAGTCCCCCTGTGTCATAATTGCCTGGGTCTTTGTATCGGCATTATATGGTCACTTCTGTGAGGACAGGAGTGTGTCTCCTGTGTCGAAATCGTATCTCCAGTGCTTAGCACAGTGATGGATGCAGAGAGGTGCTCAAATTTTTGTTGAAGCAATGAGTGAGCCTCAAAGTAAAGCATGAGCCAACTTTCTTTATCACACAGCCTCAAATGCCTCACTCTGCAACCTCTTCCTCACTAGTCAAGCTCCTCCAAATAAAACAACTATTACTTTCCCACAAAGCAGCCAAAACTTTGCTGCAGACAAAGCAACCTATACATCCAGAGGAAGAGAAACTTTTCAAAAGTTCTGAGAATTAACATATGGTAATTGTCAAATCCCAGGGTGTCTTTTTTTTTTTTTTTTTTGCGGTACGCGGGGGTCTCACTGTTGTGGCCTCTCCCGTTGCGGAGCACAGGCTCCGGACGCGCAGGCTCAGCGGCCATGGCTCACGGGCCCAGCCGCTCCGCGGCATGTGGGATCCTCCCAGACCGGGGCACGAACCCGTGTCCCCTGCATCGGCAGGCAGATTCTCAACCACTGCGCCACCAGGGAAGCCCCCAGGGTGTCTTTTAATTGAACCTTCACAGTAGTTCACTTAGCTTGTACTCAGTGCTTAAACTGAGTAGAGCCTCATTAGGGAGGTTGTGCCATGCCTTAGTGAACCTGGAGGGAAAGAGAAATAGAGCTCTCCATGACAGGGAGGCGGCAAAGAAGGGGAGCAATCTGGTCTTCAGATTCTTTAATCCATGTAGCTGACTGTACTGACTCCTGAAATGGGAGATGATGGCGGAGAACAGCCACAGCCATCAAGTGAGGCTAGGATCTTCCTTCCAAACCCCATTCTGGGTTTTGTCCTCGAAAAGCATCTGCTGCCTGCTTCCCTTCTGTCCTTTCCCAGAGCACCTTCTTCAGTGCCAGCCTCAGGAGCAACCTGATTTTAAAGACGGTTTCCTCCCCAGGAGCAAATCATTGAGGGAACCATGTAACTACCAGGTTCAGCCCTCCAGTGCTTTTCTTGGCCTCTCTGTCACTGCTCATCCACTTTCTCTGTTCTAGCCACCATGAACCCTTTCCTGCTCAGGGCTGTGACGAGGTGGGCAAGTGAGGCCCCCGGGGATGCAAAACTGAAGAAGTCGCCCACTCTTGGATGCCAGCGCTGCACGTGCAGGAGCCTGAATGCGAGTGCCTCCCTGGACTCACCCCCATTCCGGCTCCTGCTCTGTCCCACTTTGGCCACTGTGTCTCCTGGCCTCTGCAAATTCTAGTCCTCCAGACCCAGCTCAGATGCTGCCTCCTCTAAAGAGCTCTTGCTGAAGTTCACCAGTCTCTCTCACAGCCCAGCAAGTAGTCATCGCACCTTACTCTGAATTCTCAGTGGACCTTATTTATACCTCTCTGAAGACACTGTATACCTTGTTTAGTTCTTGGGCTTGTCTGTGTCTCTGTTAAACTACAAACTGTTTAAGAACAGTCATTTTCTCAGTGTGCTTTCAATATCTAGCACAGGGTTTGGCACATATAAGTCAGTGAGGTGAGTGGGGTTGTCAGGAAGAGAAGAGAGAAGAGCATAGTGGTTAGTTGCATGGAGGCGAGAGGGTGAGGAGTAGGCATGGGCCCTGGGGCCAGTCTGCCTGGGTTTGACCTCAGGCTCTGCCATTAACTGGGTGTGAGAGCTTGGACAATTTACGTCACTTGTCTATGCCTCCATTTCTTTATCTTTAAAATGGGATCAATAGTGATACCCTAACGTGGGATCAATAGCGGTACCCCAACATGTGATGTCTAATTGAGCTAAAAGAGGTAAAGCCCTTAGCACAAGACTTGGTGCCTAGTGAACACCTCAGTAAATGTCGGGATTCAGAATAAAAAAGGGTCTAGCGAAGGGATATCCATGGAAAATGCAGGTGTGCGCGCTAGGGTAAAGCACATTTGTGACTGATGCCATAGAGGAAGTTAAATCTAAACCGTTAATGATAGAAGACAGAGGCAACGGCCACCTACTCCCTCGAGAACCCAGGTGCCTACTGTTTTTGAAAAGACAAATCTTATCTCTACAAAGAAGATGGTTAGGGGGGCTGCCTGAAAAGGCAGCCGAGGAGACCCAAATGAACCTGGGAGTATTAAAACAGATATTTAAATATGCCGTTTTAATATCTGCTGTTAAGGGGGATGGAAACAGAATGCTAAGGGAAAGTCATGTTTTTGCTGCCATCTACAGTCAAAGTGCAGTTTTCAAAGTTTCTTAACACACACACACACACACACACACACACACACAGTTATGAATAACAGTATGGAGTTTGGTTTAAAGTCTAGTAATTGAGATACTTTGGGCATATTATTCTAGTATTTTATTTACCAGTGTTTCTAAAATTATGTATATTTAATCAGTAATATAGCCTTTTTAACATCTCAAATTGTGTTAGAACTTATCAGAAGACGGCTGAAATAAGAGCGAGGCTTTTATCTGTCGGGTTGGATTAGCTGCAGCTGTGGCAGATGACATTTCATACAAAGATTTTAATGAAGAAAGAGATAGATTTGATTTTACCCCATGTTTTCCTGCCCCATGACCTGCAGTTCTATGATTGTTATTAGAATTATCATAAATTGTATTTTATACAAGCATCCTTTATTGTTTTGATATGAGAAATCAACCAAAAGCAAGTAAAAACAGTATGACAGTGATGTCACTTATGAGTTGCCTTCTGTCCCTATGCACCCATCCACGTAATCTCCATTATCATGATGTTTTCCTAACTTTCCTGTGCATTATTTTTAAAGGGTTAAATATAGACGAGAATTATTGGAAAAGCGTTTGTTGGAGAAAAAAGAAGTGACCCTTCAAGAAGCACTTGAAGAAGCAGAGAGAGAGAAGCGAATAGAAGCCCTGAGGAAACAGGTGTTTTTAATTTGGAAAATTTCATGGGTGGTTTAAAAAAATGTTTCTAAGTGCTCTTAATAACATTATTACTAGGGCTTAGTTCATGACATCTGCTATATAAAATGTAACTTTCCCAAATTGGGACACTGGTCTTCATTGCTGGGAGCAATTAGATTTATGTTGAACCATTTCCAGTTTCTTAGTGTATTAAAAGAATTTTATCAGCACCTTTAAAATAGCTCTCCCAAGATTTAAATGCATCCATATTACCTCTAGTTTATAAGCTGAATAGTATCCATGTACAGCAGTGAAACTCTGCATCTAGCCGAAAGATTTTACTCTCCTCGAAAAAATGTGGTGGAGATTGAGCAAAATATTCCTCCCTAGGGTAGGAACCTCTGTTTGGAAACATCCGACAGTCAACAAACAGGTTAAAAACCACTTTATAAAAATACTGTTTTTGTGGAGAAATAAAAGTCTCCCATTGCTTTGGCTCGTAAAAGTAGGCAAAAGTTCCGAAGGTAGTAGTCGGCAAGAGCAAGAATTTAAGACCTTGGGAAATGTAATAAAATAGTTTTACTTGGTAATTTTTCATAGTTTTTAACCTGAAAGTGATTAGCTCAACTCACAAGCTCTAAAGTCTTCATTGACACCATTTCCCAGCTGATAGGAAATGACTGTCTGGTTTCTTTTCTCTGTCAGTGAAGGCAGTATAGAATCTTGGGTAAGAACTTGGCCTCTGGTGTCCTTCAAAACTGGTACAACCTGGTTCACTACTTACTGACAGAGAAAACTTAGGTCTTTTAACCTCCCTAAGCTTCATTTCTTCCTCTGAAAAATGGGAATCATAATAATAGTACCTACTTCACAAGTTTGTAGTAATGTGCATTCACATTACTCTTCTAAATGCTTTTAGCTTTTAGGTTTTACCTCATTTAATCTCTACCACAACCCTATGATGTAGGAATTATTATTATTCCTACTTCATAGAAAACTGAGGAGGCCCAGAGGTTCCCCAAAGTCACATAGCTAGTAAATGTCAAACTGGATTCAAACCAAGGAAGTCTAGTTAAATGAAATATTTAGTAAAGAGGAAGTGTAAATGCATACAACTATTATATCATCTTTTATAAAATAGATTATAGGAATATATTCCTATACTTTGAATTTAAGTCCTGGTCATCTTAGATTCAACAAAATTTAAATTATTCAATCATTAGCAAATAGTGATATACCATGGTCTTTGGGAGACAAAACTTAATGTCACTCTTACTAAACACATTCTTGTTCAAAATACAATTTTGATAACTACAGAGTCCATATGATTAGGATTCTTTCCATCTGTGAGCCCTTTGAAAGAGGAAATATCTGTGCCCGTTATCTGTAATCAGTGTTTAGAACTACAGTAAAAGACATTTTGGCTAGGAAACCTATAATAATTAAAGTATGTTCAACCCCCAGTTATGTCATTACAATTTCTAAATGGCATTAAAAATGCCATTTTCTTAATGCTAATTCTTGACTTTAGGAATTAACAGGCAGGTGTTATTAATGGTGCATATAATTTACAAAATTAGTGGCTTCTTTTCATTAGGATACAGGTTTGAACAATTTCAATTATCATAAAGGACAAGGGCATTTGGGTTGAAACGACTCTGCAGTTTTTCACTGGAAGGGGAAACAATGGTTTTTAACAGTCCCTGGAAATCTAGTTGCCTGGTACAATGAAAACTCACCCGTCTTGCTGAATAATGCCAACACACATGACTTTACCCATAAATGACATGCTCTAGATTCAGCTTAATCAGATTAAACTTTCTAGAAAGCTTCATGGGGTTGTTACCATGGCCGTAGATTGCTAGTGGTTAAAAATTAATGTTTTCTACTTTTGGTTACTTTCAAGGTGGTTGAATATGTGGGTTTTCTATATAAAATTTCCCTTGACTTTGGATGAAAAAGAAATTTTTATCTAAATTTAATCATAACTGTAATTATGTAATCTTTAATAAAATTTCTTAACTTTAATGGACATTATCATTAATAATGTTGCCCAGAAGCATTTTGCTTGTATCTTGTTCCAAGTAGCCATGCTTTTTCTTCTTTTAGGTTGCTATTGTCGCTCAATTTGATCCTGTTAGAATGATGTCAGACACAATGGCATCAAAAGCGAGGATGGGTATTGGAATCGAAGAAGAATTTATTCTTCAAAAGCCACTCTTCACATTGAATACATACAATGAACAGCAGGTAATTATGGAAATTAGCACGATTGATGCAAAAGCCATGATGATAAGAATTGTAGAAGTGTGTGTTTTGGGTTACAAATTATTTTCAATATTTACATTTAAATACCATCCATATTAGCATAATTTTTATTTCTAAGTGAGAGCACATAATTACTGAACAATTCTTAATATAAAATAGTTGATAGGTGACCATAGAACAAAACACTTTATGTAGAAATGTTATGTCATTGAAAATTATTTTAATCTAAAAAATAATTTTATAAAATTTTAAAGTTTTGTTAATACTGTATTTTGTTTAAATATTTATCATATTCAGAATTTTTTAATGCATAACATAAATCCTATTAAAGAAACAGCTAATGGTACTGATAAGACAAAGCAGAGGGAAGCTTTCTGAAATTAAAATGAACAGAAAATAATGTATCAGAGCTAACGATGAAACATTTGCTGTGGGAAAAGGTATTAAGAGGTTATTTAACTGTTTCTAGGAACTTCTGAATCATTTTAATCTGTTTCTATAGCTGAGAAAAGATTTTTAAAGGTTTTTTTAGATGGATGGATGGAAGAGAAGGAGCCAGGACATATGAATGAATGGATATCACTGAAGTTAAGGGAGAAAGTAGTTGTTAACTTTACAAATCTAAGAAAAGCTAAATGCTTATTTAATTATTTAAAAAGCAGGAAACTTCATCCATTCACTCACTGACAAATAAATCGAGTGTGCCTCATTTATGCACTGCATACTTTGCTAGGGAATAAAAAGATGAACAATTCACATATTAATTGGGCAAATATTTATGGAACATATACTGTATCTGGCACTGAGCCTGGTGCCAGGGCTGCATCCTGAGCAAGATAAACTTGTCCTGTGTGGAGGAAGTGAGCAGGGGAGTTGCTCTGGGAAGGAAAGTAGCATGCATGGGAATAACTCAACTAGGGTGAGATTGCCTCCGGCTAAGGGCTGCAGCGTCAAGAGGAAGGGAATGAACTGGCAGCCCTGAATGGGAAGTCAGAGAAATGGAAAAGGGGAAACTAAGCTCCATCTTAGTTGAGGAATTTTGGCAGCAGTGACAGAATTCATTCCAGATAATTTAAGTTAAAAACAAACAACAGCAAAACTGGATTGGGGGGAGGGGTGGGTGTAGGGAGAGGGATTAATTAGAAAATGCACGGGTATCTCCAGAAGCCAAAGCAGGGAGGGCAGTTGGGCTTACAAAGAATTGAAGTCAGAAGCTGAAAAGCTTTCAGGTACCTGGGCTGAGGAAATAAGTGCTTCACCAAGCAGAAGAGGGTGACCCTTACCGGTATGTGTTCAGTGTAAGGTACATGGTAAGGGTGGGTGCTGGGGGATGAGACTGGAGACATAAATTCCGGTCAGACTGTGAAAAGTATAGTAGATCTTACTTGCTAAGACTTTTGACCTTTATCCTGTGAGCAGAGGTCAGACTTTGAAGCAGGTGAATTATATAATCAGCTTTATGTTATAGCAATGTGTCCTGAATGGAAAATTGGTGGAGGTGGAGTCAGGTCCTTTGAAGATGGTGGAGCCCTCATAGAAATGGCATGGAGTGAGGGGAGGGTGGCCTGGCAGGGGCATGGATGGCTCTGGCTGAGAAGAGGAGGGGGATAATGAGTGAGGGTGATTCTAAACTAGGCAGTGAGTGATATTGAGAAGAGCCTGCATTTTGGATTGAAATCCACATGCACTATTTACTGGCTGTGTGAACTTGTGTAAGCTATTAACATCTTTATGTCTTGTTTACTTCATCTGTAAAACAATTTGTAAGGTTCTTGTGAGGATTAGTATAATAAATGTCAATTGCCTAGAATATTGTCTGGCACCTAGTAGTAATTCAGTAAATTATAATCATTAGGTGGTGCTGCCATTAATCATATAAGAATTCAGAAGGAAAAGCGGACTTAGGGAGAGAGCATTTATTTTGTTCATATCAGGTTTAGGTTGAAGATGTCTAATACACACTTACAGGAAACTGATGGGCTTCATCTGGGTAGGAGAATTGGGGAAATGGAGGTCAGTATGTGAGGGAGATCTTCATTTCACTTGATACGTATTGAAAAAAACAGAATTATGAAAACATTTTAAAACTCACAGTTCTGGAGCTGGGGGGGGAAAGGTGAATCCTGGAGATAATGAGGACGTCAACAGCACACAGGTGGAGCATGAATCCTTCAAAGTGGATGAGAGTGACCAGGGAGACTCTTTTGGAGCAAAAGAGGAGAAACCTAGGTCTAAGGCTCAAATACGTTGCTTTTCAGACACAAATCTCAGTGTTATTCCTGACTTATATGCATCGTTGCCCCTAGTCCTTGTATTGATCAGTTGCCAAGTTCTATTGATTCTTCCCTTCATAGTATTTTGGACAGTTCTCTCTTCCTTGCTACCAGCCAATTTTAGGCATTTATTATTTCATGTCTAGACAATTGTAGTCGATTCTTAAGCACTCTCCCTGCCTCCGTCTCTTCTTTCTCTGCCACCTTAATTTATCGTGAACTTGTAATCAGATGCATCTTCTTATGCAACAGCAATGATTATATTAGTTCCATGCTGAAAACAGAAACACAACCTCAGTAGCTCCCCAGGCTCCTTGGCATAGCCTTCAAGCCTTTAAAATTCAAGTCCCAGTCTTAGAAGTGTCCTTTTTCAGTGTTCCCCAATGGTACCAAGTACTCTACCCAGATTACCCCAATCCCAACTTAACCTATTTCGTCTCTGATTTTGCATGTGCCTTTCTTTCTTGATCTCTCTTCCTCCCCCAGCCCCATCCCCAGCTTTATAGAAGAGTAAGTTGAACTTTAAAGTTAGCTCAAGTTGTCCTCCTTACCTGAGACCATCCTAGTCTCGTTGGCACCAGGAGATGTCTCTCCGTATTCTACTACTCTTGGAGCATCTGTCACATGTTGCCACGGACTGTAGTTATCTGGGTACATTTTTTTACCTCTGTTAGTGTAAGAGCTCCTTGAAGGAGGGGTTGCTTTCAATGGCTTATTATCCCATCCTCTAGGGGGACTTCAAGTTCATGTAAAATGTTTCATTAGCTGAAAGCCATACGTGGCCACCTTCTTATCATTGCAAACAGTGTCTGTTGACATTAATATTCATAGAAGGAGGAATAATGTCCAATCAGCTATAAATGAAAAGGGAAATTGAACTACTCATATGTCTATACCCCTTAGAGTCAGATTGATGGAAGCATTTTCTAGTTCTGCTTGAAATAGAAATCTGGCCTTGGAAGAAAAGTTCTATTGATTTTGTTTTTCAAGTAGTGGCCATGTGTTTGAACTTAATTTACATATTTCCAAATGATGGAGAAATTAAAATGTCTGTTTAAAGACAGATTTACAAGGTTGTGGTTTAGGTTTAATCAATGGTTGTTTATATTTTATAATTACAGCTAACAATAAATAACAAATCAATGATCGTACTGAAAGTAAGCTTCTTTTATCCCATCTTTTAATAATTTTAATGTTTTATTTTGACTAATCTAGTATACAATATTCTGTACATCTTATGTTGGAAACCACTGATATACTGGAAAGTAATAATGTCAAAAGTTTGGATATTTTCAGTAAGTTCAGAATATAGTCACTGTATACACAGAATTTACTGTCATCTAGTCATCTATCCAGTAAAAACAAATTACACGGCTTGGGGAAATACAGAACTAAATGATAAAATTTACTTCAATGAAATGCTATTTATTTAAATCATTTTATTTCTACAGATAATTTCTGACCCTAGACTTCGTTTTGAGTTAGCACTTCGAGAAGCTGGACTTCATAAAACATTTTATGCCAAGGAGATATTACCAAAAATCGGTCCTCAAAAACCTCCAAGAAAAGATACAGAGTCTACTGTATTCAAAATCTAGAGTTCATCCTCAAATCATATTATACATAAATAAGATTTTTCTTTGAATACATTTATATGGATAACAATACTACTTTCTAAAATTTTTTCAAATATCAGACATAGAAATCATAGCATCTGTTAAAAACAACTTTTTCTTTTATGATTCTTAGACTTTTATGCACTATTTCCAATATCTTTGTTATGTTTAATAGTACTAAATTCTCCAAAGACTATGGAACTTAATTATGACACATATGGGACATATATTATCATTTAGTAAATTGAATTTTGGAGGTTGCATTATGCCATAAAAAGAGCTCAAAATAACCATTTGCAAAAATTACAGTTTATGTTGCTACTACCTACTAATGTTCATTTCTGCTTGTTATTTCAGAATTTGAGTTTTTTAATTATGGAAGTTTCATTATCATTAATACTTCTATTATTTCTCGATTACTATAAGAGGAGACTCAACCTTTCTCTAAATTTAGAAGCCAATTTGGTATACCATGTTTACTGCAAACCAATCATCCAAACAACTTCATTTTGCAAATTAACCTGTAAGAATAAATTAGAAATTAGAAATAGCATCTCAAGCATAAGGATATCTGTTTTGGCTTGGAAAAATGTATTTGTATGGTTGTTTGGAAGGAATGTTTTAAAATTCAGAATGCTATCAAAATTTCCATGTTATCTATTAAATATCTAGATGATTTTATAGAAAGGAAGTGTTTCAAATAAAACTCAAGCATAATTTTTTACTATTTCTAAACAATCACACAAATACAAGTAGCTGGTGATACACAGCAGGAGGTAGTGTCACTATTTTGAGAACCATGGAGTTGATACTTGTGGTTATGATGAAAATATTAGTTGAGGTTTGGGCAGCAGCCTAGATGCTGGCTATGCCCAGACTCAGACCTTATTAATTTTCTTTGTTTTTTAAAATAGTATTAATAATAGTTATCATTCATTGAGCACAAACTGTGCTCAGTACCCTATATGTACTTTACATGTAATGTCTTACTTGACCATCATAACAACCTTATGAGATCGTCATCCGCATTTTACAGATAAGGAAATAGATTCAGGAAGGTAAAATAATATGCCCTAGATCAGTTGTTTGTCAAACTGTGGGTCATTAAATCAATCTAGTGAGTCCTGACCAGTATTTTTTAAATGACACAAAATAAAATAAATCTGAAATCCATGCGTGATTTGGGTTTCATCCCCTCTCAGTTCCACAAGAATTTCTCTTGTTTGGTTACCCTCTTTCTCTCCTATGTCTTCAAGTTCTCCTTCAGCATACATATACGCTCAAATAAATTCCACTTAAAAAATCGATTTCCATTAACCCCACATTTTCCCCTAGCCACCAGGCTATTTCTCTGCTCCTCTTCTTAAGTGAACGTCTTGAAAATGTTGCCTCTAGATATTTGGTTTCTTCTCACTTTCTAGTTACGGTCACTCGTTCTGAGCTAGCTTTGCCCTCACCCTCCACTGACACTGCTCTTAGCAAGGGCACCAGTTAACTCCATACTGACAAATTTGATGACCATTTTCAGTCTTCATCTTACTGACTTCATGGCAGCCTTTAACTCTGTTGACAACCACCCCATCTTGGAACATGTTCTTCTCTTGGCTTCTATGACACCAGTCTGCTTTACCTCCTGTTTCTTTAGTCACTCCTCAATCTTCTTGGCTGACGCCCCCATCTCCATTGATCTCTAAGTGATGGAGAGTTCTGGGATTAGACCTTCTAGCTGTCTTTCTTTACTGTTGAATTGCTCAAGGGAAGATCCTTAAACACTATATTTTAGTTTTAGTTATAAAATTATGTCTGAGTGTCTTTTAATCTATAGGCCTCCCCCTCCATCCTTGTTTTTTTCCCTTGAAATGTATTTGTTTGAAAAAACAAATATATTTACATGTAGAATTTCTTATGTTGGATTTTTTTGATGGTGTCCTCCTGGTGTAGTTTAATATGTTCCTCTGTCCTGTGTTCTTTGTGTGTGCTATAAATTGGTAGTTGAACTTAGAAGCTATATTAGATTTAGGTTCTTTTTTTTTTTTTCAAGACCACTTAATTTTACTGTTGTGTTCTGCCATCTGAGCATTTTTTTTTAATGTTAGCTATTACTAATTCTTAATGCCTAGAGCCATTAATTAATTATAGATTACATGCTAGAAATTCTGTAATTCAATCATTCCTTCTTTATTAGTGGAAACCTTATATGAAGAAAAATTTCCCTCTTCTCTGTTTGGTAGAGAAGATAAGAAATGTAAGCTAAGTGTTTGAGCCTTTTTTTTCCCATTAACTTATGAGGTTTGAAAATAATGAATTGGCTTTCTAATATCATCCAAAGGTGATCAGTTTTGTTGTATCTTTATGGAGTCATAGATTTAAAGGAATTTGATGTTTCAATCTGTTGAAGTATTATCCTTATTGCTGCTCAAATTATCTCCTCCTTGCCCAAAGGAAGTCTTTTCAGTTAGGCTCATGGGTTCTTTAAAGACAACTTAATAGACTTGATAACTTCCTTGCTATTCTAGTTATCTATTGCTTTTTAACAAAACTTAGTGGTTCAAAACTACATTTTTTTTTTTTTTTTTTTTTTTTTTACTATCTTTCATGGTTTCGTGGGTTGACTGGGCTTTGCTGTATGGTTCTTGCTTGGAATTTGTATTAACTTTATATCACTGTTGTAACAAATTACCACAAACTTAGTGGTTTGAACAATACAAATTTATTATTGTTCGGAAGGTTGGAAGTCTGATTTGGGTCTCACTGGGCTAAAATCAAGACGTCAGCAGGGCTGCATTCCCACCTGGAGACTCTAGTGGAAAATCTGTTTCTTTGCCTTTTCCAGCTCCTAGAGGCTGCTCACATTCCTTAGCGAAAATGTTAGAAATATAATATATTATTCATTTACATTATCTCACATTTTATACACAACAAACAGTCTTAGAATAAAATACCAGTATGATAAAAACAAGAACAATAAAAAATTCTATGCACTTTCTATTCTTTTTCCTTTTGTTATAGTTGTACTTTATATTGTCAAAGATTATGTAAATATTATATTCTCTCTTAGCTCTAATTTAATCTTAGTTCTATAAGTAAATATGTATTTACTGATTGCCACCAATCTTTATATCAGTGTTTTTCTTCTCATTTTGGTTGTCTGTTTTCTAGAAAAATCTTCAGAAATTACTCATGGAAACAATATTTTCTGAATTCTTGAATGTTGATAACAGTTTGTCAGAGTTCTTTATAGTTGAAAGTCCGTTTTACCTGAGTATCAGATACTTTATTTACATTTACTTTCCTTAGCATAAAATGTCAAAAGGCTGGTTATAATCCGATTTTAATTTCCCTGATGATCACTTGATCTTTTGCCTGATTGTACCAACGATATTTTTTTTTCTAATCACATAGTAGTTTTTTTTGAATTATATATCTGTTTTTTTTTTTTTTTATTTAACATCTTTATTGGGGTATAATTGCTTTACGATGGTGTGTTAGTTTCTGCTTTATAACAAAGTGAATCACACATAGTAGTTTTATGGACTTGATTTTTTTTTTTTTTTTTTTTTTTCTCTACGCGGGCCTCTCACTGTTGTTGCCTCTACTGTTATGGAGCACAGGCTCCGGACGCGCAGGCTCAGCGGCCATGGCTCACGGGCCCAGCCGCTCCACAGCATGTGGGATCTTCCAGGACCGGGGCACGAACCTGTGTCCCCTGCATCAGCAGGCGAACTCTCAACCACTGTGCCACCAGGGAAGCCCTATGGACTTGATCTTGATGTTGGCCATTCTGGGTCAGTATACCTTTCACAATATAAATTTAATTTTATTTCAGGATATTTTTAAAATTATAATTATTAGTATTATGCTCCCTTTTAATTTTTTCCCTAAGGACCTCTTTTATAGTATTATGCTATGTTGGATCTTCTTTGCTCATAGTCTTTGTCACTTTCTCTTGAATCCCTTTGATCTCTTTATTTTTCCCAGGTTTTGAAAATCTTTTTGTATAGAATTTCATTCCTTTTTAAGGCTGAATAATATTCCACTGTATTTACATACCACTTTTTAAATTTTTTAATTTAATTTTATTTTTAAAATCATTTATTTATTTATTTTATTTTTGGCTGCATTGGGCCTTCATTGCTGTGCCCGGGCTTTCTCTAGTTGTGGCGAGCAGGGGCTACTCTTTGTTGCGGTGCATTTGCTTCTCATTGCGGTGGCTTCTCTTGTTGCAGAGCATGGGCTCTAGGCATGTGGGCTTCAGTAGTTGTGGCTTGTGGGCTCAGTAGTTGTGGCTTGCGGGCTCTAGAGCACAGGCTCAGTAGTTGTGGTGCATGGGCCTAGCTGCTCTGTGGCATGTGGGATCCTCCTGGACCAGGGCTCAAACCTGTGTCCCCTGCACTGTCAGGTGGACTCTTAACCACTGCGCCACCAGGGAAACCCCTATATACCACTTTTTTTAGACCACGTTTTGTTCACGTCTCAGTGAACATTTGGTGTGTTTCCACCTTTTGACTATCATGAATAAGGCTTGGGGTATAATAGTTGCATAGCTTTTATTTATTTATTTTAACTACAGGCATACTTCATTTTATTGTGCTTTGCTTTATAGTGCTTCACAGATATTGTGGTTTTTACAAGCTGCAGGTTTGTGGCAGCCCTGCATCGGGCGCTATTTTTACAACATTTGCTTACTTCGTGTTTCTGTTTCACATCTTGGTAATCCTTATAATATTTCAAAATTTTTTATTATTATGGTGATCTGTGTTCAGTGATCTTTGATATTACTGTTGTAATTGTGTTGGCACCATGCTCATATAATACGGCAAACTTAATTGATAAACATTGTGTGTGTTCTGACTGCTCCACCGACTTGCTGTTTCCCCATCTGTCTGCCTCTCCTTGGGCATCCCTATTCCAGGTGACACAACAATATTGAAATTAGGCCAGTTAATAACCCTTAGCCTCTAAATGTTCAAGTGAAAGAAGAGTCGCATATCTCTCACTTTAAATTAAAAACTGGAAGTGATTAAGCTTAGTGAGGAAGGCATGTCGAAAAGCCAAGATAGGCTGAAACCTAGGCCCCTTGTGCCAAACAGTTAGCCAAGTTGTGCTACATGATTCTGCATA